GTATGTGTGAGTGCCTGTGTGTATATGTATGAGTGCCTGTGTGTATATGTATGAGTGCCTGTGTGTACATGGGTGCATGTGCCTCAGTGTATGTGTGAGTGCCTGTGTGCTTACGATATTGATGTGGCAGGCCTACAGAGTTCTTTGCATCTGGCTGCAGCTCTCAAACACCTTTTTAGCTGAGGCCAATTCACAGCAATATGCCTAGCGCACTATTTACGTGTATGCAATTGTTCTGTCTTCTGAAACCCACCCAAACCCCCGCTGGATCAAGAAGAACACATCGTGTGCATGGCTGCCTGGGTGTGGAAGCCACTTCCCTTTATGCTGCCGCTTAGCACTGCTCATAGGAAAGTTTACACTGCTGGCTGCCTTCCCTCTGGCCCCATTTGGCTCTGACAAGTTCAGCATCACAGAAGGCAGCCCTCTTCCTGAAAGCACACAGGTGTGCAATTCCTGCAGGCCCCAGCAGGTCTTAAAGACCGCTTACGAACACCATCTCAGCACCTCACAGAACCCGACGAAGGCATAAGTATGACTTGGAAGCTTTTTGTATTATTAAATGTTTCATCTCTCCTTTTACCCTACTCGGAAGCCCCCCACCCACTTCCATCATAAATCAGAGAACTGCTCTGTTTTGCTGAAAAGAATCAATAAGGTAGGGTTCTTTAAATCACGGTCATTTCGAATTTGAAAAAAGCCTGGGGCTTCTGAGAAAACACATTTTTGTTTTTTGATTTACCCTCATAAATGTAAATTAGTTTGGCCATTTTCTAGGTGAATTGTATTTTTAACTTTTAAATAAATAAGAACATGGAAATACTTCATGGAATGACTTCCGTGTATGGGTACATGTGCCTGTGTGCCTGTGTGTGCCTGTTTGCTTGTGTGTGGGTGCATGTGCCTGTGTGTGTGAGTGCCTGTGTGTGCCTGAGGTTGATGTGGCCGGCCTACAGAGTAGGCACTCACACAGACACACACACAAGCACACACACATAGACACACAAATACATACACACAGGCACATGCACCCATACATAAAAGTAATTTCATGAAGTCATTCCAGAAATCATTCCATGTTCCTGAACATGGAAGTGTTAAAAGACTCAGAAGTGTGAATGGAGAATTGGACTGACTGGCTGCAGAGATGGGGGATTTGTCCCAGGAATGGGTGTGAAATGCCCCACTTCGAACATCCCCCAAGGGTTCTCTTGCAGAGTAGAAGGGTGAGGAACTGTATTCCATCCACACAGTGGAAGACGACTCAGCCACAAAACGGACTGCGTGCATGCCACAACATGGGTGGGTCATGAAAATGCTGTGCGAAGTGAAGCAAGCCCAGCACAGAGGCCACCGCTTATGTGGTTCTATTCATATGAAACGTCCAGACCAGGCAAATCCACAGACAGAAAGTGCATTCGTGGTGGCCAGGCGATGCGGGGGTGGGGAGGGAAGTGGCTGGTAACGGGTACAGGGTTTCCTTTTGTGTACATGAAAGCGTTTTCAAATTAGACAGATGATGGTTCATAACCTTGCAAAT